CAACGATCCTGGGCAACACCACTTTGGATACTTTTCCTTGCCTTGGCTTGTTGCGGTCCTCCCATACGATCTGCTTGCCTTGGCTTCTGCCGCATGTAACTTCACGATCCCTCGCGCCATACTTCAAATCAACTTGGTTGCCTTTCGACGCCTTCGCTTGCTCATGTCCCCCCATAAGGACTCAGCCTCCCATAATGGCTGTGCTTGCTTCGGCTCTTGCCGCCAAGTGATGAAATGGGCTAACACGCCCATAAGTGCATCTCTTTCGTAGGAACTCTTTCCTACAAGTCTTGATTTGCCTCGGTTTGGACCTCCCTGTCCCTTGCGGCAAAGTCTTGGATCCCATCCAAACTTTGTTCCATCCGCGTTAAGAGTTAGGTCTTGCCCGACCTACACTCAGTTAAAGTTGCAAATCAAGCTCACAAGAATAGTGTTGAGATGTACCTTCCCCTCTGATTTAGTTGGCATTTGCTCAAATTTTTGCGTCAGCCTTTCTTGCTCAATGAAGTCTGACACTCCCCGCATTGAACCCTTGTCATTGGAGTTCTTTGCGCCATCCTGCATCGGCACTTTCTCGCGGCAAAGTCCGATGCCCCTCCTTGCTTCATCCCTTCTAACACGAAGGTTGGAGCTCGCTTCCCACCTTTGAAATGGGTGGTGTCTCCATGGTTGCCTTGTCCCTCAACGTCTTGGCCTCCTTCGACTCTTGTCTACGAGTCTTTGAAGGATTGTTCCTCTCTTGAACATCCTCGGTAAGCCCTTGTCTTGACTCCTTGGACATGGTCAACTCAGTCTGCCCTTGGCCTCTACTTGCTTTGGCAGAAATGAACCGTATTGAGCCAAGTCGCAACGCCCCTTCGATCCTTGGTTCGTCCTCTTCATTGGACAACACGATCCTGGGCTCATCCATTACCTTGGATGACTCGACTCCCCTCGGGTAATATTGCAACACTGTTGGCACCTCAAGTTTGCGCCCCTTCGGTTGCTCGACTCTTACCCTCGGCTTAGCAACTGTGTCACTTGAACTAGTGCACACATCATCCCCAGATTCCCCATCTGGTTCATCATTGAGTGGACTTGCTCTGCCACTCGAGGAACAACCTTCCTCATCATTCGACTTGCCTTCATCTCGGAATCTCCTGCCGCTACCCTCGGCTTTGGACTTTGCTTTGGAAGTCTTTTTCTTCTTGACTCCAAACTCTTTGATGGACTCCGCGGTTGTCAAGGCTTTAGACAGCTCCTTGACTTCCCTTTGCTCCAACGTCTTCCTTGCCCACGGCTTTAATCCGAACATGAAGGTGAAGAACGCATCTTCTTCAGTCAAACTCGGGACTTTGAGCATGAGTCTTCTGAATCGGCTCACATACTCCTTGAGTGTCCCTTTATGCCTAAGGCGCCTCAGCTTGGACCACGCCTCCATCCTGGCATATTGTGAGCGAACCTGCTCACTTTGAACCCTCGGCTTGACGGCTTTATTGCTTGCTATCGCACCGGGTCTTTCCTTGTGCTCGACTGCTTTGACACCCGCAGTCTCGTCACGTCTCGATCCTGGCTTGACTACTTGAGAACTTGTAGTCGCACCATGCTTGCCCCTTGATTCGGCTACTTTGGAACATGTAGCCTCGTCAAGTCTTGCCCCTGACTTGATTGCTTGATCATTCGCAATCGCATCTGGCTTCCTTCTCGGTTTGACCGCCTCATCTTCGACAGCCTTGCCTTGTCTTGATCCTTGCTTGGCCGCATTGATCCCATCAATCAGACCAAGTCTTTCCCTTGACTTGGCAGCTTGAACTCTTCTGCCTCCGCCAATGCTTGCTACTCCTCCTTCTCCCATCCTCTCCATGATGGTTGTAAGGCGACGTTTCTCGGGACATCCTCTAATCAAGTGAGGACCATCACAGAAGTAGCACTTGAGCTTTTCCTTGCTCGCCTTCTTCTTTTCCCCGGACTTGGCCTTGCCATTCTTACCCGATGGCTTTCCTTGGCCGTGAACAGTCGATGGCTCAACTTGGCCACTCGAAGAGCTTTCTATACCATCTCCCCGCTGCACCATTTCCCGGTCTCCCCCATTGTTGCCACTATCCCTGGGCATGGGCCTGGACGACACATCGCTCTTTGGCTTGACATCTGCAAGCTCAGTCGGCGTTCCGGCTACAGCTATGGCTTCCGAAAATCTCTGGGCATCACCTTGCTCTCCCCCGAGCATCGCCCCTGGTCTAAGTCCTTCCAAGAAGGTCTTGAGCGCACCCCATTCACTCATTGCTCCCTTGCATATGAGTAGCTCCCTCTTGATCTCATCCACCTCGCTTCTCAAAGCCGCTACCTCGGCTTCTTGGGCATTTCTCCCTCGAACTATCTCCAACTCGTCAAGAACTCGTTGCGTCTCGACCTTGAATATGCCCTCCATGGACTCTAATCGATCAAGGCGGGATTCCACAACACCTTGGGTCTGCTTGGCCTCATCTTCGGCTTGTTCAAGTCTCCCGACCCTTTGTTCCCATGAAGTTGAGATATGCTCTAGATTAATGAGCTTCTCGGTATGGTCAGCAATAACTTCCATCCAATAAGCCTACTTCTCGTTCATCGTTAGCTCCTCGTCTGGTTCCTCCTGAAGACTCTCCCCGTCATCATGAGAGAACCTTTCGTCTCGCTCGGACATGCCTTCGGCGTCACCCTTGAGCCTCTCTACCTCGAGAACCGGCTCCCCTTGGTGTGCTATTGTTGCCTCGAGCATTCTTTGCGAACTCATCACGGCATCCTCATGCTTGGACACCGATGATGCTCTTGAGCCCCTCAGACTCTCTTCCCGTTTCCCACCATGGCACTCCTTGCCTTTGCGTGCGGAAACTCCTCTTTTCTTGTGCCCCATTCAATTATCAAAGTAAATTGATTGAAAGTAAGTAAAACAAACTTACCCGACTCGCACCTTCCACCAAAACACGGTTGAAACGATCGTTGCTTGCCCACAACGACTCGCTCTGATACCACTTGTCACGCCCCCAGAACTTCGACGCCTCTCACCGTCAGAATATCAGAGTCAAGGTCTGACGGGTCGTGCGGCCTTAGACGCTTTAGACGCTCCTCGGTCTTATCGGCGACTAAGTAAGCCTTACCCAAGCTAAGTGAGTGTGCAAACTCACAAAGGTTGGAACCAAGCCCTCAAGGCTTCGGATTGCGGAAGCTTTAGAATGCCGACAAGGTCGGACTATCGTGTGGAAGTGCTAACACGAAGGTGGCTACTCCTGGCCACCGAGCTAGGCAACAAGAACAAAGAACTAAGAACTCGGAAAGAATAGAGCAAATGCCTCAGAGCTTTATTACTCTCTCACAAAGAGAAGAATGGAATTGAGTGATTACAAATGAGGAGGAGAGCTCTCTATTTATAGTTGAGCTCCCTCTCAATCAATGGCCTAGATCATTTTACATCAACGGCTATGATTTGCCCAATTAATGACAAATCCCCTAAATCAAGGAATTACAACCAAATCCTTCCTAATTACATCCATTAGTAGGATTCTTTCCTTGGATAGGTGTTCACACTGGATATGGTAAGATTTTCCCACAATATCTTCCTGATTTTGTTGCCTCTTGCCATATTTACCGAGCTTCTGTGATCATCTTCAGATATGATGCCACTTTCCTTTTCTGCACGGCCAATGTGAACGGGCTCCATAAAATTCTCCAAGCGATGGGCCAAGTTTGGTGGCTTTGGCAAGCCCGATAACTATCTTGAGATTCCCTTTCGGACTCTTGCACCAATGTCTTAGCAAGCCCGATCCTCTGTCTTGAACCTCTTTGTCGGACACTTGCACCAGTGTCTCGGACCCAAGTTCCTAGCCCGTGACACTTTAAAAAAGGTAATTCCTTTTTAAATAAAAATCACTTTTGTTATTTGTTTTTTACCTCTTGTGTTGTTTTTCACCGTCGATCATTATTTCCTACCATTATGGTTGTTTTTTTTTATATTGGTATCATTCGTCAAAGATCCTGAAGTCGTTTTTCATTCCATTTTGATTCATTATTTTTCAGTTTTCCGGTGTTGATTTGCTCTCCTTAATCGCCTCTGCCGCTATCAATCACTTATTTGTTGTTGATCCATTCACTACTATTTTCTTCATCTTCGATTGTTGTCGATCTGAAATTGCTACTTGTATTGGATCAAAGATTTGACTCTGCTACAATAGAGTTCTATTCTCTGTTCACTACCATTGTTGTTTCCTTTACCACTCATCTTCGATGCATGGAGCTTGAATGTTTAACCATCAAGTGTTTAAGAGTTTAATAGTCTTGTCCTCCTTAACTAGATAAAATACAGTGTGTGTTTTTCACGAGAGGCTTCAGATTACACCTGGGAGCTCGTAGCTTATCCGCTTTGCTTCCAACCAAAATAAAGCTTCCAACCAAAAAAATTCCAAATAAATGATGGAGGACAATGAAGATGGAACAAACTGGAAAGCATGAAAGAAACTGTATTTTCAGTTTGATAATCAAGTAGAGTGCCCATAGATTATATCTTATATTCATCGTAAATTAATAAAAATATCATAGATAAAACAAAAAGAAGGGTACACTCCCATCATGTTGTTTTCTTTTCATTAGATTACCGTTATGTTGCCCCTTGTAATAAATACATTTAATTATTAAGTGGTCATTAAATTTTAAAATATTTAAGTTTCGAGATTTTATTATTATTGAGCCATTAAATCGTTAACATCATTATGACATATTAATTTTGTTTTTTGTTTTTTGAATTATAAACTCATCTTGTCGACTAATTATCCCATGTCACTTATCATCATTAGTGATAGTATCGATAATATACATTTTCATTTCAATCTTCTTTCTTTTTTTAAGAATCTTTTTTCATGAAATTCATTTAAAATCGATGAAAATCTAAAGTTTTATTCTCTTTTTATGACGAGGTTAATTTAGAGGTGTGTTGTTTGTCTTTTTCAAACTCCTTATAATATATCCTTATAATCATTATACAATTATTTATTCATATTGGTTTAATTTTGTTTGCAGTTTTCAAACCTTTTAGTTTATTCCCCATCTGTCTCTCGCTCCTTCGCTGCTTCCCGTGAAACAGAGGAGCACAAAAGAAAGTAAGTTTCTGTTCCTTTTTATTTTAATTTTTCCTTTTTTATACAAAAAAACTCATTTCAATTTCTTAAAAGTTAATTTGTTTAAAACTAATCATACCAAAATCAGTTCCATTCCAATTTGATCCACTTTCTCACGTTGTTGTATTTTTTTTTCTGTTTAATTTTCTTAATTTTGATCCTTTTTTTTAATATAAGAAGGTTTGTTTTCCTTAATCTTATTTGCAAGGGATGTTACTTTCGGTACTTAGTTTCTGTTTGGACCAGGGAAATAAATATAAAAGGAATTATAATTTTCAATGCTAATTATGTTTGAGCCATTTCTGATCATTGATGTTTCATGATCTGTAGCTTAAGCTCATTATTGTAGTTAAGTCCTCTTTAAATGGAAGTACGGTATTGAATTTTGTGAATTTAGAATGACGTGATTAGTACATATCGGTAAGTAATAGATTCCGGATTCTGATTAAGATTAACAGTGTATTAGGAACAAATAAAGATTAAAGGAAGCCATTTTTATTGAATAGATTTCAAGTGTAGCAAACTATGAAATTGAGATGAATCTGGAAATGAGTGGAATTCGTTTCTTCTGCATAAATGGGGAATAAGATATTTTTTAGCAATGGTTCCGTTTGTAATTTTGTTTATTAAGGTACGCCTTGATTTCTATTTCAACTTCTTAAATTTTCGGGTTGAGAATTCTGGCCATGTTCCTCTATTGTTTTCATTTATGCCAATTCAGTATTTTTTAACTTTTCAAAATGAAAATGTATCTTTTAGGAGAACAAAATGGATTATTACTTATATTTTATAAAGAACCTTATACTATAAATGCTGTTGTATTTAGCCGGTTAATTTTTAATCAATTGCAAGTTTTGCTGTCGACTGTTTGCTTTTCCTGTTAAACTGAAAGAAATAGTAAAAGGGGAAGTATCAAAATTAGTAATCTAATTGAACTACTTTCCAAGCTTATGGATTTTGCTAGACTGGTTAGAGAATGAAGCCATCAATGTTTAACAAATTTTCAAGCTTCTAAATTTTTATCCTTTTAACCTTTTTCTGGAGTATGAGAATGGAATTACAATCTTCTTTTTTCCAAAAAAAAAAAAGAAGAAGAAGAAACTATTTTATATAATTTTTGCTTTTCCTTCCCAGAAATGAATTTTCCGTCTCGTTGTGTCTTTCTTTCTTGACAGAACTACAAAATGGGTAAGGCAGAAAACATTAACAGCATGGAGGGAACACTGGAGATTGGCATGGGTAAACAAACCACTTGCTTTTAAACTAGTTCCATGATCATCATAAGCAACTTTGTTTGCTTTTCTTATAATGGATTGTGTTTTAACTTGAATTGAGTACTGTCTAATCTTGAGGGCTGAATTGGTGATAAGATTCTGGTTAAACTGCCACATGCATTGTGACAAGCAGGAAGTGCCGCATGAAAGAAACTGGTAAACTGAAAAGAATAATTATTTACTTTTCTTGAGTTGATTGCAGAATATAGAACAGTTTCCAGAGTTGCTGGGCCTTTAGTAATCCTTGATAAAGTGAAGGCAAGTTTTGTTTTTCTCACTAATTATGTGTAACCATTTTCAAGCTTGTTTAGTTTTTATTTCAACTCATTATCTGAGGGTTTATGCTTTTTCTAGGGACCCAAGTTTCAAGAAATTTTTAATATTCGTTTAGGGGATGGAACAACCAGACGTGGTCAAGTCCTTGAAGTTGATGGAGAAAAGGCTGTTGTTCAGGTAATTTCTGTCTTAAATTCTCTAGCCTTCCTTTGTTACTATGAATTCCTGTTATATGCACTTTTACATCATGGGAAAAGGAATGAGACCAACTTGTCTGGTGCTGCAATTTTGGTTATAGCAAATGCATTTATTCTTCATATTCTCTACTTATATGTTACATTGGCTAGGTTTTTGAAGGAACATCTGGAATTGACAACAAATATACCACCGTGCAATTTACAGGAGAGGTATGTAAAGTTCTGCTTTTGTCTTTTATGTTTAATCATATTCTTGCATCTCCTAATTTGATATAAAAATGACTTACCTTCAACACACCTGGATAATAAATGAATTTCTTCTTTTTATGTTGGGGAATTTTAATTAAGATAGCTGGTTGGCATCATTTTTCTGATTGTATGTGCTTAGACATTACAAGCCATGCTGCTATGCTGTTTCTTGAATCTTGACATATCTGTTTCTTTAGAAGACTGTAGACCAGAAGGTAGTCTTGTAAATACTAGACCTTGTATACATTTTATGTTGTGCAGTGAGCTAAGGTTCTCTTTTGGCATTATACTGGCTGTTATTATTGTAATATTTTATCTTCCTAGGGTTATGAAATCATCCCCTAAATTGGTCGCTAAAATAAAATTAAAATTTTCCATTTACTTCAAATTACAGATTTAGTATATAGTCCAATTAGGTAGCTATGTTTTTTCTTAGCGCCATGGTTTGCTACCTTTAAAAAGAATGTAACACAGAACATGTCATCTCCATTGAGGGATTATTGATTCAATTTGTCACATCCTATCTGAACGTTAATAACCAACACTCTGTTACTTATTTGCTAGACTGCTCTAACTCTTGTCAAGTATCCATGTCCAACACATTTGCATTCGAGTCCAAGTAACATAGCATATATGGGTTTCATGGGAATGTTTGGTTTTCCTCTTCCGGCCTTTCTAATTACAAGGTTAAGTTTATGCAATCAAGACTTTAGACTACTGCTAATGTTTATTGGTTTTTTTTGACATAATAATCATAAAAAATTGGCATCTTATACCAACCATTTGTGTGCATATTTGTTCTTATGCCCATAGGGAAACAAATTCTTGGTATCATGTTGTGTACCCCTCTGAATTTTTCTGTTGTTTCGTAATTCTTCTCCTAACTTTATTTTGTAGGTGTTGAAAACTCCTGTCTCTTCGGATATGCTTGGGCGCATTTTCAATGGCTCTGGCAAGCCAATAGATAACGGTCCACCTATCTTGCCTGAGGCATATTTGGATATCTCTGGTAGGCAGTGTTGTGGAATGACTGATAATTGAACAGTATAAGTTGTCTGCCATCTGTAGTTTGTTAGCTACATTACTTATCCTTTTACTTTGTAGGGAGTTCTATTAATCCTAGTGAGAGAACCTATCCTGAAGAAATGATACAGACAGGGATTTCAACAATTGATGTCATGAATTCAATTGCTAGAGGGCAAAAAATCCCTCTCTTCTCAGCTGCTGGTCTTCCCCATAACGAAATTGCTGCTCAGATTTGTCGTCAGGCTGGTTTGGTGAAACGTTTGGAGAAGGCAGGAGATCTTTTTGAGGTAAAGTTCATGCACCAATATTGCTTGTCCCTTTGGAGTGAACTCGAAATTGAAGATACATAAAAAAAAACATTTTGTACTTTGTTTTAGTTATCAGCTTCCACACATTTCTCGCTACTGAAAACATGATGCATATTTGTCATTGATGCGGTTGTTTTACCTTTCCATATTCTGATTGTTTCACTCACTGATTTCAGGATGGTGAAGAAGATAATTTTGCAATTGCGTTCGCGGCTATGGGGGTAAACATGGAGACTGCACAGTTCTTCAAACGTGACTTTGAGGAAAATGGCTCAATGGAGAGAGTGACTCTTTTCCTAAACCTGGTATAATTCAATTTATGATACAAGGCTTTATTCATTTATTTATTTTTTAAGGGGAGGGTTGTAACACCCCCAACCCGTATCCGACCCGGATACGAGTCCGAAGTGTCACATTGACTTTTCAAACATTTATTCGTATAAAATAGTGTGTAATTTAAAAACTTTGATACATTTAACTTATTCAAAACGTTTACAAAATATATCAGAGTTCATACAATTTATATCTTTAGACTACATGCCAACTACACTCTATAACCAGTACATATATTTTCTGATCTGACCTGTCTTGCTCCGCATTACTCTTTACTCTTCTCGAAACCTACGTGTGAAACAATCACACGCTAAGTCGAAGACTTAGTGAGGCATAACAACTTATAATGCACTTTATAACATCTATCAATACATGCATGTTTTGTTCTATCATGTTATACCAATTCCATGCATTCTTCGTATCATATAAAATCATATCAGATTAATTGCAGTAAATACATACATACACATAATTCATCATTAACAGTTTATCATGTAATCGCATACTTTTATGGTTAACCTTTTCAATCAAACACTATACACACACAACATCATATCATTTCTATAACATTTATCATACCACTAACATATATTTGTTCATATCTCTGGATTAGCCCATGTACATATGTGAGAACTATCGATATGTGAGTCTATAGAGGTTGTGCACTAATACTGTCACCACAGCTCGTATAATTGCACCGAAGTGCCGCGTAGAACTGCACCGTAGTGCCATATAATAATGTCCATAAGGACCACATATTATTCCTTAAGAATCATATACATATACTAGGGATCAAGTATGTGTCTTTCAAGACTTCACACATGTTCCACAGAATATATATATATCCCGAAGGATCGCGTAGAATTGCACCGTAGTGCCATATAATAATGTCCCTAAGGACCACATATTATTCCTTAAGAATCATATACATATACCAAGGACCAAGTATGTGCCTCAAAGACCTCATAAATGTTCCAAAGAATATACATATGTCCCGAAGGACCGCGTAGACCCTCGACTCTTGGCATGCCAACTATACCCCTAGCTCTCAGGACACATAACATGGGCATTATCATTTATTTCATTTCAAATATTCACATAAACATGTAATTCACTTTCACATATCACATATCACATAGCTTCTTTTCATATTATCACATAGTCACATAGTTCACTTACGCGTAGATCATTTCCATATAATTCACATGTCACATATCTCATGTTCTTGTATAATTTCTATCATTTCTTTCACATATCACGTATCACATAGCTTCTTTTCATATTACCTGATGACATATATCATGTAGATATATAATAACGGATATCATATTATCTACCTTATGCTCTATTTCTTTGTATTCCCATAGATTATAAATTATGCTGTATTTCTAAACATATATCATTTAATAGCATTTTTATTTAGGTACTAATTTAATCTCTTTACTTAATTCAATTTCATATATTCATTATAATCTTTTCATATAGCTCCATTATACTAATTCTCATAATAAATCATACCACTAAGTACTTGTCCAACTCATGTTTCCATTATGCATATACTGTTACCCATGTTTACCTAGTTCATATCACTTCTTATAAACTCACTTTCATCATATTTTCCTATTATTACATATTAAAGTCTTACATACATCATATAGCATATACAAAGCATATCATTATCTTTAGTCATGCATACATACAATCAATGTAATACAGATAATCACATATAATTATAACCACACATAATCATATCCATGACTTCATGCATATTACTCTAGGAAATAGACTCATCGCAAGTCTTATTTCCATTAAACACTACATGTCACTAGTATGCACTCACCTGGCCTCACTAGTCAATTTCAATCTCTTATCCTTCCCTTGATCGATCTTACTTGCCAAATGTTTCGGAATTGCTTTACGCGCAGAATATACATAAATGTACATTTTGAGGCAATCATTAGATACCTACACCTTGTAATTAGATACTAGCAACTTAAACGAATTTATTAAACCCATATTCACAATTTCCTTTAGGGGGAATCGGTTCCCTACTAAGGGGGTATCGATTCCCTCATGACATTCTGGAAATTTTTGTTCGTTTGAAGGGGTATCGGTTCCCCTTGAATGGGTACCGATTCCTCTTGCCCAGAAATCATATTTTAGCCCGAAAATTATCTCTCAAACACTTCATATATCATCCACTTTTCATTCTTAACTCTAGTACACATACTTAAACCAATCTATATTCATTTATTTCATCTTAAATCTCAAAATCCTATCTTCCATATGAGATTCAAGAATCATACCAAATTTTCAATGTGTTCTAATTCCAATTCTAACACTTCATACTTCTTAATTAGATTGATGACAAGTCAAATTCATCCATAAAACTTCAACAACCATACCATATCAAAATTTCATCTTAAAACTCATATTGCAAATTCCTTCATAATTCCTTTATCTTATTGTTTAAATCACATATAAGCTTTCCTTAAGCTTATTTAATACCCAAAGAATCAAAACCAAACTTAAAATTCAAATAATAATCAACTAATAAAACTCTCACCTTTGCCTTGCTCTCCCACGTATGAAGAAGAAGAAAGGAGAAGAGAACTCTGGATGTTTCTCAAATTTCCCACGTTTATATTACCTTAAAAAGAAATATAAAAATCTTTCTGGTCAAATGACCATTTAACCCTTAATTTCCTTTAATAATTACTAATTAACCTTCATCATATACATCCAATAATCATTGAACTATTTCATTCTTATACTTTAGTCACCAAATTCTGAAACTTTACAATTTGGTCACTAACCCGGTATTGCGGATGTTTCCTTTATCTTATTGTTTAAATCACATATAAGCTTTCCTTAAGCTTATTTAATACCCAAAGAATCAAAACCAAACTTAAAATTCAAATAATAATCAACTAATAAAACTCTCACCTTTGCCTTGCTCTCCCACGTATGAAGAAGAAGAAAGGAGAAGAGAACTCTGGATGTTTCTCAAATTTCCCACGTTTATATTACCTTAAAAAGAAATATAAAAATCTTTCTGGTCAAATGACCATTTAACCCTTAATTTCCTTTAATAATTACTAATTAACCTTCATCATATATATCCAATAATCATTGAACTATTTCATTCTTATACTTTAGTCACCAAATTCTGAAACTTTACAATTTTGTCACTAACCCGGTATTGCGGATGTTACAAGGGTGGGTTGGTTGGGAGGTTGCATCTACTTAAAATATTTATTTATAGCTGGAAATTAGCTTCTACTTTCTTCTCTACAGGCAAACGATCCCACAATTGAGCGTATTACTCCTCGTATTGCTCTTACTACTGCAGAATACTTGGCGTATGAATGTGGGAAGCATGTTCTTGTGATCCTTACAGACGTATGCTCTTCGTGAGGTAACGGAAAACAGCCATGTCTCATTAGTGCAAACTCTCTGGTGTCTATGACTACTAGCTATAGCATAGATCCATGGAACCATGTATGATTTTTTATTTTTCGCTATTGATAATGATCCTGATCGATCTTACCTTCTTGGCAGTAAATTCATGCATTTCAGAAATCTACGTAGCTCTGGAAAGCTTTTATGTGAATGCTGGAAGTTTACTCTTTATTTATCTTAAATCCATGTTTTATATTGTTATGTCATTTGCGTAAGACAAACTATTGCTAATGCGGGTGTCTGCCGCACGAGAAGAAGTACCTGGAAGACGTGGATATCCTGGGTACATGTATACTGATTTGGCCACAATATATGAGCATGCCGGACGAATTGAAGGGAGAAAGGGTTCTATCACATAGATTCCAATTCTTACTATGCCAAATGATGGTAATGCATCTTTTAACAATATCAACTTTTTGCACTGAAATACATTCTTTAATGATAATTATAATTCATAACTTCACTTCCTTTCTTTCTTCAATTTTTATTTTTGGCAGATATTACACATCCCACCCCTGATCTTACTGGATATATCACAGAGGGGCAAATATACATTGAAGGACAACTTTATAATAGACAGATAATGTGAAACGTAGTACAAGCTATCAACTTGTTTATATGGGAGATACGAAGGTTCACAAATTATCACCATGATTCTCATAATTTTATGCATAAATTTCATTTTTAATACGGTGTTTTGCATGGGAACTACATCTTCTCTATTATTGCATTTCATTGGTAAATTTCTCAAGGTGACTCGGGTTGAATGTGGCTCAACATGGCGTGTGATGTTGATGGCATGTACCTTGTTTGCTTAACTGGTTGATTTCAAGGTCTACAGTATTGATCTGTTTTCAAAATGGATTTTGGTGAATATGGTTTTCTTCTTTGTACGAACAACAATTTAGTTGGTTTGTTTCAATCAATAAATTCTCCTCCTTCATGAATTGGACAGATATACCCACCAATCAATGTGCTTCAGTCACTGTCCCGTGTGATGAAGGTGATGATAGCACTCATTAGTTGAGGCTCTTGATTTTCATCTGTCAAGATGAAAAATACAGGCAGTAACTTATCATGAAGTGTAACAATTGTGTTGTATATATTTTCCTAGAGTGCCATTGGTGAGGAGATGATGCGCAGGGATCATGCCGATGTGTCTAACCAGGTATGAGTGCAATGTATAATTTCAATCCTCCATTGTATGTGAAGGCATCTAACTCTGCTTCTGTTTCTCGATCCTTTAACCTTTAGTTGTGCACGAATTATGCTATCGGGAAGGACGTGCAGGCCATGAAAGCTGTGGTTGGAAAAGAAGCACTTTCTTCCGAAGATCTGGTTTGCTTTTCCACGTCACTAATTTTCTTGCACCATATTCTGGTAAGTAATTGCTCAGAAATAACCTAACGTGCTGTCCCTGAACGTAACAGCTATACTTGGAGTTCCTGGATAAATTCGAAAGGAAATTCGTCACCCAAGGAGCATATGGCACCCGCAATATCTTTCAGTCACTCGATTTGGCATGGACGCTGCTTCGCATATTTCCTCGCGAACTTCTCCACCGTATACCAGCCAAAACTCTCGACCAGTTCTACTGTCGAGATGCAGGTAATTGGAGGCAATCTGAGGCTCCTTGGTAGCCATTAAAAGTAGTTTATCTGCCGTTTCCCTGTGTTACTTTTTATTCTATGTTCCTATTTCTTTAATTTGTATTTGTTTGTAATGAGATGATGAAATAATGTAGACGGAGAATGAGTTGTGATCTTATGTCGAGTAAAATTTGAATGTCTAACTATGAATTTCAATGTATCATGATTTTTTTTAATAATATTTATTTAGAATTTTTTTTAGTTTATTAGTAATACGCGCACACCATATACATATACATATACATATACATATACATATACATATACATATACATATACATATACATATACATATACATATACATATACATATACATATACATATACATATACATATACATATACATATACATATACATATACATATACATATACATATACATATACATATACATACATATACATATACATATACATATACATATACATATACATATACATACATATACATATACATATACATATACATATACATACATATACATATACATATACATATATATATATATATATATATATATATATATATATATAACTGTTTAAATTTGAGTCTTCTAAAAAGAACATTTTCATTTATGGTGCTTGAAAATTTTAATCTTTACAACTTGGACTCATTGGCGATGGGTTTTTATTCGCTGACTTGAAAAATAGGTGATTAAAGTTTCATTTAGCCAAATCATTATCCAATAAACATTTGACGTATAACATTTATTAAGTTGAAATTTATAGAATACATACAATTAATCAAAAATTAAATTAAATAAAAACACACTAAATATATTGTATTTATTTATTGTTTTCATCTCGATATTTTACCTTCTCTAAAAGAATATTTTTATCTTTTGTTCAGCCTAGGGTTTATTTTATAAATAGCTTAATAAAAAAAATCTAAACTATATCTTTTTCCTCATTAAAAAAATTCTATTAAGTAACATGTGTTACATTTATATTTTTTTTAAATTATTCTTTTAAAAAAATAAAAATTATAAAACAAATTCCAAATTTTCTTTAAAAATTATTTAAAAACCTACCCACCACCTTTTCCATCATTCCAAACTCCTAAATTTAATGGATGATATCCTAATAAATTTATTGAGTGGGAAATGGGATTAAGGAGGGAGGAAGACGAAGGGGGATGGGAAATTTTTCCTAGGATAGGGGAGAGTGGGGGCCCGGGGGAGGAGGGTTAGGTATTTTAAAAATAAAAAATAATATTTTGTAAAAATAAAAATTTAAAAAAATATAAATGTAACATGCATCATTTAACAAAATTTTCTAACGGTTATATAGTCGAAATATTTAAAATGATAATTTTATTAACGTTAGACACTTGAATTGACCGAAAAAACAATAAGAACCTAACAAAAAAATATTATAGTTTAAACACTTTTTTATATTAAGCATTTATAAATTTTAAAGTTCAAATAATGATGGTAAAGATTAAAGTTATAATTACCATTTTTTTGCAAATAAAAAACAATTTGACCAGTAGTAAATCCAATCCCATCGTCAACACAATTCAAATTTCACCTCAAAGCTATGTAAAAACGACAAAGATAATCCGTACAAATCAATGAACCAGAAAATTAGACCCTCAAATAGGGGAAAATGAAAATATACCACCTGATAACAGAAGGAATCAAATTTGAAATAGACCCAAGGTTTTTTATTTATTTAGAAATTTTGGGAAATAAGAGAAACGTTAGATGGATTGAAAAACAAACCAAACTGTTATAAGATACAAATATACAAATTAGTTAGTTTGTAATTTGTTAATAGTAGTTAGAAGTTAGTTACATTGTTAGTTTAGCTATATGCTATATAAAAATTGAAGAGTAAAAGCAGTATGAGTTCTTAAATCAAAATCATTTTAGTGACATTTCTATGAAGGTTAAATTGAAGAGAGAAGCGCTGGAGAAGCAACAACTTTGCAAATTTTTCTAATGGTAATGATGTGAGTAGTGTTAATATGAACAACAATTGCAGAAAGATTTGTTGGAATTGAAGAAGGATGCGACTCTCATTTACAAACAAAAAGCTAAAATGGTTACAGGAAGGGGATCAAGGTACTATTTTTTTTCACTCCACAGTTGTTGCTCAACAGAAGCAGAGTAATATTTGATTTAAGAATCTTTTGATTGTATGGTTGTTGAAACAATATATTTTTTCACTAAATTAACTGTCGCCGGTGATCCTAATGTTAAGAGTTATGATTTGGGGCAGTTTAAAAATATTCTTCAGCATTTTTTGTCTCTTGGAGCAAGTGATATACTGACTAAAGAGGTCTCTGATGTGGAAATTTGGAATTCTATTTTTGGTCAGGGGGAGGATAAGGCTTATGGCCCTGATGGGTATACCTGTATTTTCTTCAAGGAAGCCTGGAATATTGTGGGAGTTGATTTCATCTCACTTGTAAATTCCTTTTTGCATTTTCCTCTCTTCTGTCAATATTCAAAGCAACTGCTCTTGTCCTTGTGCCAAAGTTGCCAAATCCGTGAATGGTAAAAGAGGCTCATATCTCGTTGCTCTGTAGCGTACAAAGATATTACTAGGATCTTAGTGGAAAGGTAAGCATAATATTTCTCTGGCATGATATCATTGAACCAAACAGCTTTTTTCAAGGCGTGAGCATTCCTGATAACAGCCTTTTGGCACAAGAGCTGGTGAAGGGTGCAAAAAAGTCCACTTCCCCTAGAAGTGACCTTAAGATTGATCTTCAAAAGACCTTTGATACACTATTTTGGGACTTTGTGCTCAGTGTTTTAAAAGCTTTAGGGCTGCTTGAGAAATTCAGAAGGTGAATTAGTTCATGTTTTATTGCGTCCATGTTTTGTCTCTTTCAATGAGAGCTTGGTTAAGTTTTACAGGGGTGCAAGAGGCATTAGGCAGGGGATCCCCTCTCTCCTACTTATTTGTTCTTTCCATGAATGTTCCTGTAAGATTTTAGATTTAGTTGTTGCAAAGGAGATTTTTAGTTTCCACCCTATGTGCAAAAAAATTGGGTTGATCCATCTGTGGTTTGCAGATGATATTCTTATTTTCTGCAAAGGATCTATTGACTACATAATATGGATTCAATGTGTTCTTAACCAATTTTATAAGATGTCTGGTCTCAAGCTTAATACTTTAAAAAGTGAGCTATTTGCTTCTGAAATTGCAGGTGATTAAATGAATGTTATTCAAAACATTTCTGGGTTCAACCTTGTTCATTTTCCTGTTAGGTACCCGGTGGTCCATCTTGTAACAAAGAATGACTCAGATGGATTGCCTATCCTCATAGATAAGATCAAAGCTAGGCTCGGGCATTGGTTGGCAAGTATCTTAGCGATGCTAGAAGGCTGCACCTCATTAGAGCAATTTTGTTTAGCATTGCAAATTATTGGTGTAGACAACTTGTTCTTCCCTAAGCCGTAATTAAGAGGATTGATCAATTATGTCAGGTTCTTTTGGAAGGTAGGGGATTCTGTTTTCACTGGAGCAAAAGTAAGTTGGAAACATATTTGCGCCCTAAAGTTAGAAGGGGGTCTTGGGTTGAAGGACACTCACTGTTGGAACAAGGCTTGCATCCTTCAATTAATAAAGAACATTTTGGCATGATATGGCTCTTTATGGGTTGCACGGATAAAAGTCTATATTCGTAAAGGGTCTAATTTTTGGCAGGTGGACTACAAAGCAAATGTTAGTTGGAGTTTAAAGAAGTTAATGGAGGCATGAAGCTTTGCCCTTGTTTGCCTCTGCAACTGACTTAAGGACAGTCAAAGCTATTTGGATATGGTTTACTATTCAAACTAAAGGTGCTAAAGTTCCATGGCATAATTTGATTTGGTTCCCTCTCTATGCTCTAAAGCATGCCGTTATTGTTTGTATGACTATTTTGGAGAGGCTTATATATCTTAAAGATTCTCTGTCATTTGACAATAAACGCTCAAATACCTTACAGTCTCTGATGCTCGGACCTGAAACCTATAGGAATAACAACTATTCCTTTAACCGTTGCATTAAGGAGATTGTTAGGATTAAACTTAGGAAAGATAGTTTGGATTTTGTAAATATCAACTATGAAAAATTCCTCATTAGAGTATCTATTTTCTTCTTGATACTCTAATCTTTTGTAGCACTCATCTGCATTACTTTGAGTAATATACACAATTTATCCCCAAAAAATTATGTTAAATGCATTATTACTTTTAAGAAATTGTGTGAGTTTAATTAAAATACTAATTTAACAGACAAATTAATGTACCAACTGATTCCTTTGAGTAAATCCTTCTAAAATATAAATACCATAGCTTTGAAGTAAATCAATATTAATTTAAATTAAATTGCGAGTTGTGCAAATCAAACAATTCAAATACAACATAAAATATACAAAATTAAAAATAAAAATAAAATATGGTTTATAAGATTTTATCCTAATAATTAAATGCTAATTTTAAATCAATTTGTGAGTCCACGTATAAACTAATTACATTATATGCATTATTCAAAAATAAAAAAATCATATAAATTTGTATTAATAAATATATCAAAATTTAATTAATAATAATAAAAAGTTATTTTCTCTTCTCTTTCTTATTGTAATTTTTTTCCTTTTTCTGCTTCTGCCCTAATAATTTCATACACAAACTACAGAGAAGAAAAGGCCTTGTAAAATGTAAAGAATCAATATCTAGACGTTACAGATCTATAGTAATTTATGTATCTTCTTTTTATATATAGTTACAGATTTACGTAGAATCATTTACTTTTTAAAAATTAAAAGAACAACTATAATAGTGATAATCATTTTTTTTAGTCTAAGATAAAATATAATATAGTAATTTATACATTTTTTTTATATATGATTATAGATTTACGTAAAATCGCTTACTTTCAAAAGTTACAATAACAATTATAATCGAAATAATCATTATACGTTACGTAACGTTTATAATATTTTTTTCTTTTAATTTAAGAAAAAATATAAGGTAGTGATTCATGCATCTTCTTTTTATATATGGTTATAGATTTACGCAGAACCGCTTACTTTCTAAAAGTAAAA